GGGAGCCTCAGCCAAGGGCAGAGGGTGCCACAGGCCTCCCCTTTTCTTCCCCCCAGCACACGCCAGGGCCAGACTCGCTCTGCCGCCATCTGCACATGTTGGAGCTGCTGCAGCCACTATTCTCCAGCCGGGGGGGGGCAGGGGCAGTTACTTGTTTTTAATAAATATCATGTGTCCCTTGGGTTATATATTATCTGGTTTGGCCCATCTTGCTTCTGGCTGTATTTTGGGGAAAATGATACATAATACTTTGTTTTAAACTGTTATTGAGTCATTTCAATCAGCTGCTGCCACAGGCTCATAGAGAAAAAGGGGGCTTGCAGATGCTAAGCATAGTTGGGCTGGGCAGATCAACACAGCTGGTAACAGAGAGCTGCAGCTCAGAGGTGCAGTCTAAGAGTGATCCTGCAGTTCCATGCAGAGAGGGAAAGGCTAGACTAGAAGATCCTCTTTGAGCAGCTAGGCACCTAACTCCATCCTAGATGCATTACAGGCTGGCTGGGGAAGCTGCCTAAATTCTGCCTATGTTTCCATACAGGCCCAGTCTGTCAGGTGGTCACAGAATATGCCTAACAGAAAAAAGGAAAGGGCTTCTGCAGGGCCATAGCAGCAAGACTAAGCAGCAGCCAGTTCACTGGGAGATGCTGTGGCCTGGATACTCATCTGGATGAAATGGACATGGGCCTCTGATTAGTAAGAGATGATGGAGTGTTTCACAGTACTTGCATAAGGTGACTAAGGAACTGGGCAAAAAAGTACCCTGGTGAAATCAATCTTGGCTTCATACATCAATGTAAAACAACATGGGGTTCAGAAAAGGACAGATGTGCAGCTATCCTGGGGTCTCCCCCACAATATCTGACTACTACTGCACCTCACCACTCAGTGATGGAGAGCAAGTGACAGCCTATTTGTTTCACGAGTGGCTACTGTGCGATAAATGCCACTAGATGAAACCTAAACTTGGGTAGCTTACACCCACTAGAGTTTTACCCCCGACTCTTTCAGAGGTAACTGGATTGAACTGGGTGATGACTTAAGGATCTGCATTCTCTGTCTGCTGCTGCTTTGACATTGGTGAAATGCCCATTTCAATGGTATGCATATTTCATCCGTCTACCCCCTAAAGCAGGGCTGTGCAATTCATGGCCTGTGGGTTGCATGCAACCTGCAAGTTGTTAAAATGCAGCTCCCAGGCTCCTGCCCAGCAGCCAGTCCCATCTCCCCCTGCCCCCAGAACAACCAAGGGGAACGCCTGAGCAGCCTAGTGGCCAATGGCTCACCTGGTGTGGTCTGCACAGCATGCAGCCCCTGCTAGCATGGCCCCCAGTGGCCTAGAAGTTGGACAGCCCTGCCCTTAAGATTTTACTTAAAGGAAGTGGGAACACTCGGCATTATTATAATACAAATAATTAAATACCTGGGAACTGAAATATCTCCCTGATTGGGTTTGGAGGGGTCACATCTCATTGTCACAATGGTTGCACGTCCATTTTCACAAGAGGTTGTAACTGTGGAAGACCTAATCCAAAATAAAACAAAACCTGCAATAAATATTTAGTTCATTTTCACTAGATATGTGTTGTGCAGTATTTGTACTTTAGATACACAGTATTTGTATTTAAATACACAAATGTAAACACACAGCTTCAAGATGTATCTGCCAGCATATGTATATGTACAGCTCTAGAGATACTATCACACCACACTGTTCTTTGCCATTGTCAGATGAAAGGAGGAACAAGAGAGACAATTTATAACTGATTATATAATCATTTATATATCATTTATACATCCCTGCATACTTTAAAAAGGTGCATTTCAGGGACTCTTCACAGAGGAACAGCTTCTTCCCATGCCAAAATCAAAGGATTAGAAAATGATAGCCATAAGCAGTATGGTCTGAGAGTTACTAAAAACCCAAGAAGCTGCAAACGACTCTTCCCTGAAATAGCAGAAGTTGGGCATGCCTCGGAGACCAGAACTCGCTGCCCCATTATGCAGTACAGCATAATAATCTGAGCCAAAGTATGGCCGTTAGCTATAATATTACCCAGATGAATATGAAAAACAGGAAGAAGCTGGTATGATCTGGGCAAGTCTGAATCAAGTGATTTTTTTCCCTGTTTCGGTTTTGGAAATATGAATGCAAATATACAGGGGTTTCTACTGCCATAAATGTTTCAAAGCAAATGAAGGAAAAACCCTTCCAAAAAAACTAAGATATAATATAGCACCTAGAGAAATCAAGGGTCCACTCTGGCTCTGGCTCCACTCTGTGTGCTCAAAACTAACTCAGATTTGTGCAGGCAATGGTGTTTACTGATGTCCTAGGCTTGTCATCAACACTCCTCTCAGCATTAGCCAGAGACTGGAGGAGTGCCTTAAGGATCTTCTGTCTAAGACTACTCTTCCATTAAACAAACAAAAATCATTGATGTACCTCCAAGGTAGAATTTTCCACCTACTTGTAAAAGAAATGCACATCAGGTATTTTCCTTGGAGAAGGTGGAAACATTTCTGTTTTCATGCTAATGTTTTCCAATGTGGTTTCCACTGTAGCTCCTAAAATAATAGCCAAAAGAAACAAGGAACAGGTTAAGAATGAGACTTTTGGAGGATTCATGTACTATGCTTTCAGGGTCTACATGCTTTCAACGGATGGTACTTGACTTCTAGGCATGAACTCATCCAGTAACTTTGTGTTAAATGCTATCTTTTAATATAAGTGAACTCTACAGATTTTTGTCTCTTTCAGACAAGGTACAAGCCTATAAGATAAAATGCATTACATAATTTTAATAATTACAAAACATAATTAGATAAAATACATTACATAGTCTTAATATAAACTCTATCATTGATAAATCAAAGTGTAAAAAACAGTCTTCATTTTTTTATGTGAATTTACAGCTTTGTAAGGAGGATGCCAGATGCAGGACCTAAATGAGTGCTGTCTTCCTTCAAAGGATAGGCAATTCTGGGCAGAAAGAGACAAGTCAGTGTGCAGTCCCCTAGAGCAGAAATTCCAAATGCAACAGAAAGATTGTGTAGACTTACAAAGTCATATGGAAAGTTTTTTATGATATGCAGTGGAATAAATAATACAGTATCACATGAAACTACAGGCTGCAGGGATCTTGGAAGGGAGCTAACCCAGAGAAAACCCAAGCAACCTTCTTAGAAATCCTTCTAGTCCCATGAGAGAGAAGACAATTTGGAGGTAAACTGCTGGTTGCATGACTGGTGTGAAAGGTTTGGTTTTATGAAACACTGAGCCACTCCAGAAGGAGAGGGACCTGGCCGAATAAGACAACAAAAGGCTGACTTTCATATGGGAGAGGGAGGTGCTCATTTTCTGCTGGAGACTATCAGAAGCAACCAGAAGGCCAGCATACAAGTAGGGTGCTAAGATGGCAACGAAGGTCAATAGAAGAAATATTTCAGCTGCTGAGGAGTCTCCGAGGAGTGTGGATAAGAAGCCCGAGGAATCAGAAAGTCTTAGTAATGAGGAAAACAACAGATATACTTGACTGAAACCTGCCGGGTTAACTGTCACGGTTAGATTGTTAAAAATATCTAAAAGGACAGAACAGATCATTGAGGTACAAGGCCAGCAATCTATATTGCAGATGCCATTGATTATGCTAGTCATTGATAACTAAGGATTCCACATGCACATGGATTTATAAGATGACTGACAAAACCCTCAAAAGGGGGAAAGGCTGGGGTTTGCTACAGCTCATCAAATGGGATGCTACTCCATGAACATCTGGTGGTGAGGTAAGAAAAACTTTATTGTTATGGGGCAGGGCTCCATTTTCAACACACATGCTGGAGATCCCATGAAGTCAGTAGTAAAATATTTTTAGAATTTCTAAATATTATAGTTGATAATTATATCACCCAAAATACACTGGTCCCAAAAAAAGGTAACACTGCTTTGGACCCCGTTATGTCCCATGAAGATGAACTGATCACTGGACAGAAAATTTGTCTATGGATCACGATCAAATTTCATTAATATGGGCAAACCAAGGTATGTCCTAACTGTATAATTTATGCATGCAGGTTTGTATGTATATACCTGGTGCTTCAAAAAGACTCATTTCCGAAACTGAGAAGAATTATGAGAAAAACTGACTAGGAGGACAAAATGAGAGAGAAATGTGAATGGAAATAAGAATTCCTTGAAAACAAATTGATTATTATTAGATGGCCAAAAAGCCCATGATTCCTAAATAAACAACTTTGCCTAAAAGCCCAACTTCTGTACTAAGTGAAGGCAGCAATTTGAAATAAAAAAATGGGATACAACTAACAAGAAAAAAGGGACATAGATAAATCAATTAAAATATAAAAATTAGGAAAAACAGAGAAGTACTAAAGGAAACTAAAGATATTAAAAAGCCATCAGGGCTGGCGACAGCACTAAAGGGCAAAAAGGAGGTAATTAAGTATATCAGGAAAAGCAAACCTACTGATATTAGAAGCCTGTTACCATAATAGAGACAGTTACATTGTTAATCACTTGCAGAAAAGACAGAAATGCTTCATAAATATTTTTGGTCTCTGTTTGGAAAGAAACAGGATGATGAAGTCTATTAGTAACTAAGTAGGATGTTAATTAGCATCTACAGAGCACAAATGCTTATGAATCACTCAGCCATGGTAACTTAGATGTAGGGGCCCTAGCAGAGTTGGCTGAGGAGCTGTCTAGCCTGATATTCATTTTAAATAAATCTTAGGATGCTGGGGAAATCCTGGAAGCCTGGAAGAGTAGTAATACTATGTCAATATTTAAGTGCTAGTAGGAAAACTTGGTGATTGGCTGGTTAGCCTGACATCAATCCAGAAGCAAATAATCTGCAGATGGCAAAGCACTCAATCAGAGAAGGTCTAAAAGTGATGAATGTAATTAATGGCAATCAACATGATTTTATGGGAAACAGTTCTGATAAAACAACCCTAATTCCATTCTTGGATAAGATTGGCTGATAAAGAAAACTACAGAGAAGTAATTTTTTTTCATAAAGCATTTGACTTACTACTGTTCAACACATGATTAAAAACAAAGCAATATAATGTCAATAAAGCACATATTAATGAATTAAAAAGCGGAAAACTGAGAGATGTCAAAAAGTGGTTGTCAATGGGAAAGTATAGTCCAATGGAGTGTTTCTACTGCCATTGATATTGGGCACAATTTCATTCAACAATTTCATCAGTGATCTGGAAGTTAATCAATCTCTACTGATAAAATTTGTGGAGGGTACAAAGATTGCCAGAGCTGTAAGTACTGATGAGGACAGAGTAATACATAATAGTCTGGATCATTAGAGAGGATGGGCCAGCTCAAATAAAATGTGTTTTAAAACAAACAAACATAAGAATGAGGAAGGCAGGCCACAGAAGAGCAGCACAAGCAAGTCAACAGGAGCTTCCAATGCCATGATGTGGCAGGGAGGAGTAACACAGACATGAGATAAAGAAGGATGCAGTGAATGGGGGTAAAGAGGTGAGACCAGCACTAAAACTCATCACCATTTTAAAAATATGGACATGAGAACTGTATGTTCAAACACTGGACAGAATGCAAAAGAGTCACAAAAATGCTCTAAGGGGAGGAAAAAAAGATTTCTAGTGATAGACTTAGAGCTTGATCTGTTCAGTTTATTAAAGCAAAGAGTGCATATTGACTATAGCACTGAAAGGGGCATCTATATTGTCTCTCCCCTAAAATTTTGCGGGGGGACAATCTCAAGCATGCCCCATCCACTTGCATTTGCCAAACCCAGAGTGGTTTCATGCCAAATTTCTGGGGGTCTTACCACATGGCCATTCTCAATGCCTCTGTCTCTGGCACATGAGCAGCTCCATGGGATGCCCCAGAGTAGCTTCACCACTGCATGTTTGGGTTTAGCATGTGTGAACAGGGGCAGGTAGGCATGGCATGCTTCAGTGTATCTGGGGACACAATGTAAATGTACTTATTCTAAGGGTGGGGATAGGGTTTTTAATAGAGAGAAACATAAAAAAGTATCAACATCTGGAAGAGGAAAGCAGACAACTTCCAATTGGAAATAAGGCACACCTTTTGTTTTGTTTTGTGTTTTTTTTAAATAGCAAGGGTGTTTAACCCTCTCTTGTAGATGCTTTTCCTAGCGTGCCTACTCTGCTGGGTGATGTAAGGAGCTGTGCATATTATCCGTCGCTTAACAGCTTCAGTGTAAGATTGGGCACCTTTTTGGAAGATATATGTTATGTTTGTCCAAGGCATTCACAGATAAAGGACTCCAGCCACGAGTGTGGGAAAGAGTGCTGCCAGACTGGCAGGCACAGAATATACTGTAAATATAAAGTAAAATTATATATGCATTGGCATGAACAGATTCAATAGAAAGTAACTTAAGAGTCACACATGCAGATTCAACACATTCACATATCTCACAATACACTATGGTCAAACACAAGTTATTGAGTTCAATATGTGAAAAACTAGTTGACAAGTAAGAGTCTGTGGTCTCATGCTCCTTTCCAGGCATAGACTCTTAAAAACACAGTACATATTTTGTAGATGGAAGAAGTCATATTCTCTGCAAAGAAAAAAACAACATTGTGTTCCTACTTTTTCTTTCTAATGTCCTTAAAATTACCACGTGGTCCCCTGTACTATAAACACACAGATGAACACAAACAGGGCAGTACAAGGGACAGCAGTCTCCATGGCTAAGTACAGACAGTCAAAAAGCCCAAGGCTGAACTGATTTAGTCTTTACAGGTTAGTCTGAGCTGCAGAGATTAAACTGAGAAACAACTGAACAGATATTCACTTTTGATTCAGGAAATGCAGCCACAAGCCTGCAGTGGCTTAGGCCAGAAGCCAGGGGGCACCAGAGCATGCCTCTGGCACGTAGCCACCATGGGCTGTGTGTTCACTTCCTCTTCCTGCTGCCCCCAAGGTCTCTGAGATTTGCAGTCCAGAATCACAACAGCAGAACTCTGCAGGGTTGCTCATCACTTCCTTGTCCTACTTCCAGGTGCCTGTGGGAGTTGTAGTTCACAGTTGCAGCCAGCAGTAAACTTAGCAGGATAGGACAGCTCTGTACTTGGGAAAGAGGGTTTTAAACCCCTCCCTGGCCCCAGACCCCAGACGGGATTTGCCTAGGGGGAAGCAATCCCTGCTTCTGCCCCCACCCTGCTTCTCTGCTGGAGCAGACAGCACAACCCACCCTAGGGCTGCAAAGCATGCTAGGATGCTGGGGGACTATGATTTAACTTGAACCAGGAAGGGGTCTGGGACAGAAGTATCAGACTTAACTGACAACCCAAGTCGGTTAAGTCTGATACTACATTCAACCACGTTTATCTTAAACCAGTTTCAGCCATTTTGAAACTAGCTTATGTGCACTGAACATCTGTTCTGTTACAGGTTTAAACCAGTATCTGATTACTTAAACCAGCTTATATGTAACTTCTGTCCCTAGCCCAGGTCACAGCCTCCTGAGTATGGGAGTGGGTGACAGACAGCCTGCCTGACTTGCATCATTTTCCAAAGCACAGTTGACATGCTGGGAACAGCAGCAGGAGGATGGTATAGATCAGGAGCTATTTAATTCTCCCCTACAGGAAAGGGGAGTCCAGGACTGAATTGTGCCTCTAACTGCCTTTCTGGTCTGCTCCTGGGAGGACAAAGCTATGCACAGGTTTCTTCTCCAAACTACCATCTCTATTTCCCCTACCAAGTATCTTCAAGAAAGCTTGCTTAAAACAGTCTGAGAGGTGCTTCCTCTTTTGTTTCTGTATTGTGTTATCTGGTCCTGTGCCCTCTTTTGCCTGAAAAAAGTAGGAACCTGTTATGCCTCGAGCCTACCTTGCCTATCAAGAGCTGAGGCATGCATCTCCTCAAGGATCAGAGAAAGGGAAAATACAATTGCCACACAACATGGGGTGCCTTGTCCACAGAGGTGCTGGGAAAATTCCACTGATGGGATTAGACCATGAAGCAGTGTTGCCCCTTCTCTTATTTGTAGATGACCTATCTGTAGAGTATGTATTAAGTGCAAAGAAGCAAAAGACAAAACCACATACCTAAAAATGCATCAGCAAGACTGTTGGATTGCAGAGCCAGGGCTGTCCTGAACCCCTTGCTGTCAGATGGGATGATGGTAGACTGGCACACAAAAGCTCCCATGAAGTTTGAATCATCTTCTGATTCAGCCACCATATCCTTTAGAGTGACATCTGTTATGTTGTCAGTGCAAATGGCCATCTTTTTCCCCTGTAGATATTAGATGAGGGTGAAAATGGGCTTTTATTTCCTGCAGGATTTTCACAGACTTGGGAGGGAGAGGAAGTAAAGAGGGAAGTTGCGTTCCTCTCATGACAGCTTGAAAAGAATTTGAAATTGTCAGCAGGAAGGAGACAAACGGCAACATTAAATTGTCCCATCATGAAGGTTCCAATTAAATCCGGACGCGTATTCTGAAACAGCCAGACACTTCCCTCTTATGTATTGCTCAGGACCTGTGCTATTAAGCATCCTTATTTGTTTATCTTGACAACATAGCACTTACTTGCAATGCATAATAGAATGCCTTGCAAAGAAAAACTGTATTTCCCTTAACCACATAATGATTCATTGTATGATACCTCGTTATCTGGGACTTAACCCAGGAAAAACTGTTCACAGAGAATGAATGCATGCAATGCTTAAAGGAATGCCTACTGGTTTCTACAACACTGCATTAATACATCTCAGAGATGTATCCCTCTCTAGAGACCTCCATGAGAAATGCAGAGCAACTGCCACAACAGACAAGGCAATTCACCCCTTGCGGACCCAATTCCATAAAATACTGAACATTCAGGGTGCATCCAGACGAACAAGCACGTGTGTTTTCCTGGAGACAAATAGCAGCAGCATGTAGTTGTGTCGCTGCTACTTGTCCCCGAGGAATGCTCATGCACACGTGCTCTGGCACACGGCAAGTTGCCCTGGGTGAGGTAGGGGAGGCTGAGGCCAGCACCTGGGCTGGCCCCAGCAGTCTTACCTGGGGTTCTGGGTGCTTCCTGGGGCTTCAGCAGCAGCAATCCAGCATGCAGAGCCTGGCTGGCAGCTGGAGTGTGGAACTGGCCAGCCAGGCTCCGGTTTCAGGCAACACACGCTGACACCATGTGCACCACCCCGTTTTTTTCCAGTCGCAGGTTTTTTTGGACACCAGGATCTCCCAATGTCAAAAAAAACCTGCCATGCTGCCAAACACGGCAAACGCCTGCATATGCTATGCGTATGGTTTGCAGCACCACATACTGCATGTGCCCGTTCATCTGCATGTGCCCTCAGCATCCCCAGTCCAGAAGAGCACTGAAGCATGTGAGTTACTCTAAGACACTGGGACTGCTGGTATACAAAATGTTGCATGTGTGTTTAAGCATTTTGGTGGAAGAGCACTCCACGCCCTGTAGGATCAAGCTGTAAGGTACAGCACTTGCATAGATTTAAGCACATAAGTGTTTCCATTGTCTTCAGTACCGCTAGCAACATCACTGGGATGACCAACCCACATGTTTAAATGTATCCATCTGCTGAAGTGCTTTGAGGAATCAGTAATCATTGCTTTAGTGTATTTCAAAATTTAGATTAAGCCTTTGTTGCTGTAAACTGCCATCTTCCAGATGATGTGCATTAACACTCAGCAACAGAAGCATATGCTCTTACCAAAATTAGTTAAATGCATTTCATTATTGCTCTAACAGTCGGAAAGCAAACAGTCAGAGGCCTCAATAACTGGCAGGTGTGACTGGAAGTGAAGGCTGGTGGGTAGCTGGGCAAAGAGGTGCTCTGCTGACAACAACATCTTCACTTGAGTGAGAAGGGAACCTGGGGCCATATGGAAAGAAGCTGACAGTCAAAAATTTCAGTTCTTAGTTTGGGCTGGCTTAGCAGCAGAATACCACATTAGCAAGAGACAGGTCAGGTGAATGACCCTGGAGATCCCAGAGAAAAACAAAGGAAGGTCTGGGATTCTGTTTCCTGAGCATCTCCTTAATTTAAAGCAGGGGTCTTAAAGCCCGTGGCCATCTCTGGCCTGTGGATCTATACATCCAGCCTGCAAGGTTCCCAGAGTGGCTGGGAATTTGGGGACAGGGCCTGTAGCCAAACTCTGGGGTGTGGAGCCCCATTAGGGACACATCTCAGCAGCAACAGGGCAAGTACTAGCCCCTGCAGCTCCCTGACGCTGCTCACCCTGCCAGCAGAGGTGGTTCCAAATCCAGCACACAAGAAGCCCCATGGTTCAGATCTGGCTGGAAGTCCAAATGTGTTTAACTCCCCTGGCCTGAAGCACTAGAGTCCTCTTGCCAGAATATCATTTTGCCATAAACAGGAGCCTCATTTGCGATTGGATCCAAATCCCAATGGAAAGGGATGGCACCGAGCTGGGGCCTAAATGCAGAAGGAGCTCAAGACAATTAAGACCTCCCCAAATCAGGTGCTGATTAACTACTAGGAGGCCACAAAGATATACACAATCAAACTCAGTGAGGCTAGCCCATTCCCTGTCCCTACTATGTCGGCACCTACCTCATTCCCACATAGGCTGATGTTAAAGAAATGAAAGAACTTGGTTCCTCTAGACGTGAAGCTGGGTCCACTCATTAACGAGCCCACCCCACTGAGGTTACTGAAATCATAATTCAGGCTCTGGTTATCCTTGAAATACGACACCAAACAGTCACTGAAGCACGTGGAGTGGTCCTTCCAGAGGAAGAAAAGTATATTAAAAGTCAGTTACAGACCCCCTGGGTTAAAGCAAATGGAAGTAGATGGTTCCCCCATCTATAAGGAGTATGCTTGGCTCAGAGCTCCCCCTTCTCAGCTGGTGAGGTGAGAGCTCCCATTTCTATTTAAATCTCTTTTAACCAGAGTCCACAGCTTATACATACTGTAGGTTGTATACATTATATTGCAATCAGTCTGCAATTCTAGTCCACAGAGGGCCATGGCAGATTTATGTAGCCCACACTGACACAGCATTGCCCTCTCCCCCATCTTCAGGTAACTACATGATGTATACATTTATGAAGTAATTACTGACTTAATGTACTAATAGATCTGATGGTTTAAACCTTGTAATAGAAGCCTGTGTTTTTAGATCTGGAAGTCCTGAGTTTAGCCTTTGTAGATGGACCTCCCAAAGACATTGTCACACTCACCCGTTGCAAGAGGACACACAGAACCATAAGCAGAGTGTTTTGTTAAGCAATTGCAAGCAGACATGGTGCCGGGAATGAGTCTGGAGCAATGGCACGGTTGACTAACTACATCACAGAGCTAGCAGTGGCCATTTCCATGGTGAAGCAGACAGCTCTGTCCTTGGGCTGAGTGCTCTGAGCTCCTAGCTGAGTGATTGCTGCCTGTGTCTAACAAAAGCCCTAACAAGGGGGCAGAGCCAGTCCATGCTCCGCAGAGCATAAAAGGAGATCCCCTGAGTCATCAGGGAGTGAGCAAACAAGAGGAGCAAACAGGGAAGTTTTTAAGTCAGCTTGCCACTCCTCCTCCCCCCTGCTTTGAGGGGGAGCCTTTAAGGGTGTTTATAGATGTGTTCCAGGAGGGAAGGGTGTGCCTCAATTAGAGCAGCTCTGAGAGCCGCTCTAATTAAAGTGCCTGGAGCATCAAGTGCATCATCAAACGAGCTTTAATTAAATGCCCCGTCGCCATTTTTCAGTGTGGAGACACTGATATATGCAATGCCAGAGTCTGCTGGAATGCGGCAATTACCCGTGTATGCTCCTCTGGATGCACCCCTAGGTAAAAGGTTGAAAGCCAGGACCCCTATGGTAGCATAGTGCCATATATAGGATCAGCTACACAGGGAGAGCTCCAGAGCCTAAACGCATGGCTGAGATGATGGTGTTGGGAGGAAGAGTTTAGGTTTATTAAGAACTGGGGGAATCTTTTGGAACAGGAGGAACCTGTACAGAAAGGACGGTTTCTACCTGAGCCAAAATGCTAGTAAACCTCTGGCATATAACATTAAAAAAGTGGTAGAGAATCTTTTAAATTAAAATGGTGGGGAAAGCTGACAGGTGCAGAATAGCACACAGTTCAGACTGACACTCCCTACAGGAGTGAAACCACTCCTGAAGGAGCTGATGACATTCACCCCTAGGGTGCTGAAGAAGCTCAGATCAGAAATTACTGAAGGTCTAACTGTAGCATGCAACCTACCACTAAAAACAGCCTCAGTACCAGAGGACTAGAGGGTCACCAGTGTGACTCCCATATTTTAAAAAGGGTCTAGAAGGGATGCAGGGAACTACAGGCTGGTAACTTCTGTTCCTGGAAAACTGGTAGCTTCTGCACTGTAGCATCCTTGTGCCCCAACCAGCCCCAGTCACCTACTACATGTGCATTTCATTGCACATAAATGCTCCACTTTAGGATAGTATTTTTCCTGGACAGTACTATCCCACAGCAGAATTAATTATTTTACTGCACCCTAATATGGGCACATGTAGACAGTGATGCTTTACTGTGGATTAGTCAGCTCCACAGTAAAACACATGTGTAGATGCACCAATAGTGTATTTGGACGTCCAAAAAACCTTTGACAAGGTCCCCCATCAGAGACTCTTAATAAAATGAAGTAGTCACAGAATTGCAGGGAACGTCCACTCATGACTTAGAAACTGGCACAAAGCTAGAAAGCAAAGAGTCCATATAAAGGGTATAATTTTATCTGCCTATAAAGGGTCAGCTTCAAGATGGAAAAGAAAGTAAATGATGGGATCCCCCAGGGATCTGGGTTGGGACCAGGGATATTTAACATATTCATAAATGTTCTGGACAAAGGGGTGAGTAGTGAGATGGCCAAATTTGCTGATGACACAAGATTATTCAAAGTGGTAAAGACCAAGGCAGACTGTGAGGAACTACAGAAGGATCTGGCACAATTGAGCAAGTGGGCAGCTAAATGGCAGGTGCAATTCAGTGTAGATAAGCATAGTGATACACGTGGTCAAAAATAACCCAAACCATACACAAACTATGATGGGCTCTACATTAGCTGTTACCACAAAGGAAAGAGATCTGGGAGTCACTGTGGACAGTCTGCTAAAAACAACAGCTCAGTGTTCAGCAGCCATAAAAAGGCAAACAAAACATTAGGGATTATTAAGAAGGGAACTGTAAACAAAACAGAAAGTGTCATTATGCCCCTTTATAAATCCATAGTGCATCCACACTTTCAATACTGTGCCTAGGTCTGGTACCTACACCTCATAAAGAATATAAAAGAATTAGAGAAGGGCAACAAGGATGATCTGTGGTATGGAGGGGCTTCCATATGAGGAGAGCCTAAGAAGGCTAGGCCTATTCCATTTAGAAAAGAGATGCTTGAGAGGGGGAATGAGAAAGGTTTACAAAACACTAAAAGGCGAAGAGAAAGTAAATAGGGATTTATTACTTACTCTCTCTCTGAATACAAGAACCTGGGATCACAAAATGAAACTAGTAGGTAGGAAGTTTAAAAGCAACAAAAGGAAGTTCTTTTTCACACAATATGCAATTAAAGTTGTGGAGCTCGTTGCCACCAGACAGTGTGGAAGCTGACAGTTTAGCTAGATTCAAAAAGAGGCTAAAGAGACTGGACAAATGCTTGGAGGAAAGGAGAATCAGTAGCTATTGAGCATTGTGAGTTAAGAATCAGAACTTCCTAGATCTTAAATGCTGGAGGCTGCAAGTGATAGAGGAAGAATGGTTAAAACTCTGGTCATGCCCAATTCACCCTCCCTTTCAGCATCCACGCTCTGCCACTGTGTGACACAAGACACTGGACAAGATGGACTGACCGTTTGACCCAGTCAGTGGCAATTCTTATGTTGTTATGTTTTTAACCACTTTCAGTCTCTGTACCTTGGTACTTTTACTGCCAGGCCCACAAGAGACACAAGCCTCTTTGCCATACACCTGATGTACGGACAGACAGGTATTGGCTGGGCATTCCTTGCACTGGTTAGTTTCCTTCTCAATGTAGTGTCCAGCTGGGCATGGCACGCAGGATGAACCAAACTGCTCTGAACCCAGTGCGCAGGCCCGACAGGTTGAGGCCACTCCATCCACAGCATTGGTCACCATGATTGAGTAGATCTTCACCATGTCATTGATGAACTGCCTGCTCTGAAACAAGAGTGGGAGACATAACCCCAGTCCATGTTATACAATCAGAATCTCATCTTTGAATCAAATCTCACAACAGCCCTGCGCAGTAGAAGACCTCCAGTTCAAGAAAGCACTTAGGCATGTTTATCAGAGGCTGGAAGGAACCCTTAGAGAAGCATGTTGTACCCTGTCTGTGATTAATAAGTTGCTTCCCCCAGTGCTTGGTCTAAAGGCAGGGATCAGGAGGCAACCTGCAGGTCACCAGGGTCCAAATCCTCGTCCACTTATTAGGTGCCTAAGTGATTCTATCTCATCCTGCTCATCCCTGGAAAACAGCTTACGTAAGAGGTGGATGAGTTCTGCTCCTGCTCTCTGCCTTTTGGTGACTTAATCTTGAGTTTAGGATGGAGCCATGTTACAAAAGTATTTATAGTCATGCTCCGGGCATTTGTAGACATGCCCCGGGAGTTGGTGGGGGAGCGGGGAGCTTTAATTATTGCGGCTCTGAGAGCAACTCTAATTAAAACGCCCAGAGCATCCCGTGTATTAGCGTCCCTACACTGAAAAATAGCAGCAGGGGCATTTTAACTAAAGCTCGTAAAAAGTGCCCTCGCCACCATTTTTCAGAGCAGGGACGCTGATACACGTGACACTAGAGTCTGCTGGATCGTAGTAATTACCACAGTCCAGCAGACTCTATTAACTGAGTCTGCTCTGACGTGCAGCATGCAATTACAGCATGTTGGAGCAGCTTCCCTCCATGTGTATAGATGCCCATCAGTGTTTTGTCTGGGACTTGAATAAGGTGGAATAGATAAGAATCTGGTTCTCAGATAAAACAACCTTTTTATCTAGCTCTTAGATATGAAGCCAAGAAGCAGTTGAGTTGAGAATGAAATCTCTTGGCTGTCTAAGGGCCAGCTTCTAAAGGAACACTAGAGAAGGGACTGGATAATAGCTGACTTGTGGTGTGGTGGTTAGGACACTGCGCTGGACCACTGTGGCAGCCAAGAGAGTAAGGTATGTGGGGTCAGGAGGAAGGACACAAGGTAGAGGATGTGTAGCTCAGTGAGATGATATTGCTTCTAAAAGTAAGCAGGCTCTTCCCAGGAGCCTTACAGAACCTTCTGCATTGCTCCCCATCCATGTTATGCAGTAACTATTAAATGCAGTGGCTCAGCTTCAGGAGTCAAACCCATTCTGTGCTAGAGAGCCTAAAGGTTGAATCTCCTGCTTCCTCAGCAAGTGCCTTAACTACACAGCTACTGGGGCTAAAATACAGGAGGGTCCCCCCTCCCTTTCATGCCCCTTCACTTTTTTCTAGAACCTGTCCTTGTACACTTGCATAGTGAGCTGTGTGTGCACAAGCCTGTACCACAGTCATGCATAGCCAGTGTATAATCCAAAGTGTAAAGCAGAGCCCCAAAATGATGAAGCTTCCACTTAGACATGCAGAGGCAAGAACTATTCCATGAACAGCTTCCCCCCCCCACCCCTTTTTTCATTAGGGCCATTCCTGGCTTTAAAAGCAGCTATGTGTTTTAGTGCCTTGTTGAATCAGAATCTAAGAATTTGTGGTAAAAGATATAACGTAAGAGATGCTGCACAAGTACAAATGGGATTAACGTTATTAGCATCTATAGCATTTGCTTTGCTCTCCATTTCTCAATTTTGCATTTTGCTGTCTCCTATTGATGAAGCAGGACAATACCAAGTTTGTGCCAGATGAAAGCAAGATTCAGCCTAAAATAAGGGAGAGATCCTGGCCTCTCCCAAAGGATTATTCACATTTTTGGAGGCTATCCAAGATGTCTTGCTATCCAGATTTTCACTATTTTTGTTGTCATTTTGCCTTTTGATTTTTAGTGAGCCACTTTGCACCTTCCTACTTAGCCATTATTAGAAGTACAATATATTCCCATTGTGTGACCCCAAATACAGATGGTAGATACAGGGTTTCTATTAAGTTGGACAGCAGGCCTATGCCAGCTTTCTCTATAAATGAAGCAAGAAACAGGCTTGAGTGGGTGGACTGGGATTTTGAGTACTTGAGTGAATTTCAGAGGGAGGCTCTGCTGTTAAATCCTGGCTTAAATATCAAATACTTACATCCTGGCCTTCGTTTATTCTCTGGAAGGCCCATGTGAATGTGAAAGAAGCATTTTTGGAGATAATGTGAGTGTAGGACTGTTTCTCTTTACTTCTTTCCCAGGATTCCACCACATTAGTGTTTTTTCTATTAACATCCTACAAAAATCCATAATAAAATAGAAACAATATTAATGAAGGAGGTTTGAAATATTATAAGAATATTTTATAATAATAGCTGGTGCTTAATGCATTTAGAAGGCCTTTTATTTGTATATGGTGTTTAGCAATGGACAATAAATACATTTGTCTCTATTTCTCCACAACTGGCAATTTTTAAGTAAAGAATGGGAGCTTTTTCTGAAGCAAATGCTCTAGTTCAAACAAAAATAAATTGAGGAAAGTCCTGTGACTTATGTTATACGGGAGTCAGACTAGGTTGATCCAAATGGTCCCTTCTGACTTGAAAACCAAAGAAAACAGATGGGGCAAATCCAGGCAGAGTGAGAGTAATGCCCGTTTTCCAAAAAGTAGATACTAATTTTGAGTGCCTCCGTTTGAGGGACATTCCACTTCTTGATGTCTCATGTCAAAGCAATGAAATGAGCAGGCAGCTCAGCAAAGGGCTCAGTGATTGCCTGACAGTCTAGTATGGGTAAAAAGAGTTTTTCCTTTCCTGTACCCTTTACCCAGAACATGACATTGGTAGATTAGAAGGTGAAATTCTGATCCTATTGCAGTCAATTGGAGTTTTATCAGGTGGAGTCAAAAAGGACAGAATGCGATCCTTTCTTCCATCAACTTACTGATTGTTTTCTATTCTTCAGAGAAGAATGAGATCATACTACAAATGATGGAGAAAACTTGCTAGATCATCAATTAAATCCACCTACAAGGGCACTGCAGATACTAAACTAATGCCACGCTTAATCTTCATCATAATAAACCTAGTGCAGCTAATCGCCTCTATGTACATATGTTAAAGTGACATGTGGAATGCCAAGCGCACTCGTCTGTCATGGAGTAAAAGGTCTCACTTACCACCATAAAGTACAGCACGCAATCTGCTGAACAGATGGTCTCAAAAATAAATGTAATCCGTCCTAGTTCTGACCCAGTTGCTCCAGTCACTGACGTTGGAGGTCTGTTTAACAGGGAGGAACTGAAATATTTACAAAGTTCTCTACAAACACTTAGCAGTCAGTCACACTATTTCTTTTTCAAATTCCTGGAGAATTGAAATTCATTCCCACAAAGTCTGCCCCGAACAGAAGGCCCGGTCCATCAATCCTTGCAGCACTGCAGGTTGGCTACAATGATGTTTTTGATTAGAAGTATGATTTCTTTAGTGATACTGCTATATCACTGCAGTCAGTAGGGGAATACAATTATGCTGGTGTACAAGTGGCTTATTCTTGTACAGCTTATTTTCTTTCCCAGATGGGAACAGCTACATTAGTTAGGCAGCATATTTATGCCACCCTAATTGTGTCTGCACTGGAGGAAGGGGACGGACCACTTTAATTATACTGGTTTAGCTCAAGTGGTATAATTTTTGTGTCCAAACAAACCTGCAAATACTATAACCTTAAATGCTGGAAGCTGCAACTGAGAGAGGACTGGTGGAAAAAAACCTTAGTCATACCGGACATTTTTACACATGCATGCGTCACAGCGCTGGGCACTTTGAAAAGCACCTGGCACTGTGACACTTGCAGTTATACAAGCAGTAAAATGCACACCGGTGCTGAGAAAATGGCAGCAACGCACTTTTAAACTAAAACACCTCAGAGATGCTTTAGTTGAAGAGCACACTGCTGCCATTTTCTGCATGCTGACATGCATTTCGCTGCTTATACAACTGTACACAGCGCAGTGTTGTTCGCCTCAGCTTGCATGCGGACTCAATTAATTGAGTCTGCTCTGAAGCAGTGGATCTCCGGTGTGTTGGAGGAAAAAAAGTACGTGTATAATGCCCAACTAGTTCACCCTCCCTTTCAGCATCTGCTCTCTGCCACTGTAACACAGGATATGGAACAAGATGGTCCTATGATCTGACCTAGTAAATGGCAGTTCTTATGTTCTTATGATACCAGGCTGTATTTGCAACTCGACTTTGACCAAACCACAGTGCTAAAATAAAGACGTAGAATTTAGTGACACCTAAAATCATCCCAGTGGTTTACAGCATTGAGTGCCTTGGAACCACATGGGCATTAGGAAGCAGTTTAGAGCCTGGTCTAAGTTGTGTGCCTACCCCTTACCTTTCCATCAATTGTGTTATTGAGTACAGCAAAGAATTTGTGTGTGGGGGTGTGTGTGGGTGGGGGTGTGTAATTATGCAAGTTCTCTGATTCACTTCTAGAGGAAAATATATATCCATAAATGCATACATGTAGCATTTGGCTGGATTAAGATCATAGCCAATGTCTGGATTCACAAAGGCTTTGATTTAAAATATGTTAGTGCAGATTTTATGTTGCAAGCTGCAAGCAGGACTTGCACATAGGACTTAAATATCTAGGGTGCTACCCTGCAAAATGCTGAGTGACCTAGGGTGATGCTGAGTACACACAAATCCCACCCAGGACCCTGCTACGTGTTCAAATTTAAGTCAAATAGAAACCAGCTAGAGAGTTATTACACATTTTCAAGCACTAACTTTATTGTTGGTTGGTTCTTTTTATAGCTGGATAGTGATTTTTATTGTGTGATAATTACTTTGCACTAGTGGCTGATCTTACTTTTCACATGTGGCCAGTCTAAATTAATTTAGCAATTAACCAGGCAATAGAGTAACATGTGTAATGTTTAGTAGGAGCCTACAGTACAGAAGCAGGAGAAGGTGGGGCATATCACAAAAGATCCTCACTGTTCCACTGTGATCCCTTTCAGGGTAATTTTTCCTCTACCTTCTGAAGGGAGGTGGGGTTGTCTCTTAATCTAAAAAGATATAACTGGCCTTGTGTCCTAGAAAGCATCACACCATTAACTTCTAAATCACTGCTCACTTGAGTGAGGTCCATGGGATGCCAGCCCTAATATCAGGTTTACTTTACTCTGACTTCAATAGAAATTGCACCTAATTTGCTCCTATTCAAGTGAAAGCAGTTTGGTCCTTAGCAAACAGCAAAGATCCTGACTGCTATCTGATGTGTAAAGGACTCCTCCACCCATATGGTGCTGAAGTGACTTCAGTGGTGTCTGCACAGATCGGATGACAGATTTGGGGTGTAGGATGTCAACAGCCCCAGTCACAATAATGTATGGAGTAACTGGTTACTTATAAATGATCTCGTACTGAAGAACCAAACCTTGTTTTCCAGTCAGGAGTTAATGTAAAGCAAGTGTGAAAGCTGGCAAATAAAATACAAACTGACAAAGAAACTGTGATCCTTACTTAAATCCTGGGATGTGCAGATTCAGGATAAGAAAATCATTGTCAGAGCCCCCTGCCCCGCTCTGAATATGGTCACCAGCCACCTCCCAACCTGCAAAGGAAAAAAAATCCACATTTCCAGAAACAGGCAATTTATATAAAAGTATCCTCATCTTTCTATATAATACAGGGGTTTTCAATAATTCAGTAAATAAATTAGTGATTGAAAAATACAGCTGGAACAAATTGTCAAAAAACTAATTTCTTTTAAAAAGGGGGACATTTTCAGGATGGATATCAGCTCCTGGACATTGTCCATGTCAGATGGAAATGTCACCTTTGAAGTTGTGATTTAACAAGCAACTTGAAATTCAGTAAATTGGGGTCAGACTAGATGATTAGAATGGTCCCTTTGTGCTCTAAAATCTATAATCTAGGAATGTATGTGCTTAAATTTAAGTATGTGTTTGAATTACGTTACTGGAGCAGCCTTATCATGCACCCTAGAGAGCAGTAGTTCTTATACAGAACAGGACAGGAGCAGTTCCTCATAGGCGCACACAGAAGGATAGGCATAATAAATCTCTGAATAGGACTATGTCCACAGCTGCACTATGAATGTTTTCTGTTGCCACCTCAGGACATATGCAGGGAGAAGGCTTAGAAGGCACCAGGTGTGGGGTGTTTCCTCAAGTCTCAATGATCAGGAAAAATGACATTAAGGATAAACAGGAAGAAACTACAATACAACAAAAATGTGGACATTTATTTTCCTATATAATCCTTAGCTCACTGATTCTCAGCCAAGGTGCAAGGACACCATGGGGTGCCTTGAGAATATTTCAAGGCTCATGTAAAATGTTAGCTCTATTAGGTGAGCAAACATGGTTGACAAGATAAACCCAGGGTTTTCACATACGAATTCAGTGTTAAAAAAACATTCTGACTGGTGTGACGTGAGGTCTTTGAAGAATTGCTCTATTACTTTTCTGTAGTCAAAAAAGAGCAAAAACTAAGACCTAACATTTTCCAAGGGGTGCCTCAAGTCTATCAATGCATACCTTGAGTCTATGAAGGTTGAGAACTACTGCCTTAGATGCACCCTGTACTCTGTAACATGGATAACTACCTCTTTAATGTACTCTAAGCTGTTCAGTTGGTATAACCTAGGCTCAGATCCTACGCCACCTAGTAGGCACATAACAGAACGTAGGTTCTTTCGCGTAATCCATCTAATGTTAAAAGCAGATAGGTTCTCCTCCTCCCCACTTTTTTGTACCTCTGACTAAAGAGGGTGTGTTACAAAAGCAGATTCATTAATGGATTTTCAGGACTTGCATTAGGTAGAACGCGATCACATTTAAGCACCTAAGTCCACTCAGATGCCTAGTAGGTAGAACAGACTCTGCCATCTGGTCTGGTTCCAGGAAAGTTAACAGAGCAAAACTGATTTATTCCAGCTGAGTCTTGTCCTTTATTTCCTTTTGCTTGGTATTCAACAAGATGATTATCCACTGACTTATCAAACCTATGTGCAATGAGAGGAAGAAAAGGAGCTGTATGCTGGGGTTAACTGAGCCAAGCACATATTTGATGGGCCCTGAGTGTGTGAACAGACAAACACATTCTCTTGTATAGTTATTCAGTTCTGTATACCAGAAACAATTAACTGAGATCAGGAACAGGCAGGTGTGAAGCTATCCCAGGGTAGCTCACACAGTAGGTGGCAATTGCTGTGCCACCACTAGGCAACACAGGAGCAAGTAATTCCCTGTTTGCCTACAGCAAACAGCTACTTTAGGATGGTTGTGGATCTATGAAACTTAAAGCAGTGCAAATTACACTAATAGCATTTTGCCCTGGACTCTTTTAGGAATGGTTCTTTACATGACTGTGTCGTTATCCCATGTTAGGTGTCTGTGTCATCTGTCCACTACTATTTTTTTTGTTTACAGCAATGTAAGATGTTATGCTGATTACAGAACTGTAAGCCTCTCTGTCCATGCCCTCAAATACTCTTACAATCAGTGAAGATGAAAGATAACAAGGTAGAGAGAGACCGGCTCACCATTCATTCCATCACACTTTGAATTTCCAACATTAAAACAAGAAGTCTTCATATTGGCTGGCAATATGTTCCACCATTTATATTCAAATCCAAGAGCTGGTTCAGTCCCAGCTGGGCAGGCCTGGCATTCTACAGGGGAACAGCAGGGAAAGGAGATTGCACCCAAGTAATAACTATAAAATGCAGCACTTTACAAAAGTATAAAGGGAAACAATAGTGTTTCATACAGGGCAACTGGGAATGAAATGGAAGATACGTGTAAAAAAAAAAAATAGTCCGTCAAACCTGAATAATCACTCTTAGAATCTAAGGATGTAAGAACAATCGCCCAAAGTGCAAAGGCAAAAGACTTCTTGCTAATGACTTACAATAAACTTGGCTGGACAAGGATGTCCTGGGGAATCAACAGGTCAAGATAGAGGGGTGGTTAAAAAGAGTGAAAGGTCATCTCAAATTGATATGGTCCATCAGACTAGCCTACTTAAGGCACGCCCGTTTCTGTAGCCAATGGACATGTCTACATGTTCATTAACTTGTATAATCAAGTACTGAACAAATGCACAATAACTGGAGTTACTGCAAGTAGTGCCAGTGAATGCTTTTTAAGTGATGCTACTGCGCAGTAGCCTAATATTATTGCACAGTAGCATTTTAGCAGTATTTGTGCTGTGACGCGCTACTGTGCAGTATTATTAGACTACTGCACTGTCACCGTCTCATGTAAACACACTCACTGACATACAAGGAAGTGATGTGGTGCAAGGCATCACATCTGGATGCTCTGATTCCACATCCTGAACAATCAGGGGCCAACTTTGGTACAAGCCTGGAGGAAGGTACAAACTCACCCCTCTGACCCTGTAGCACAGTGCCTTAAACATTCTGCTCCCATGCCTCCTGGCAGGGGATGGATTAGGATGAATTTTATGCTAGAGCAGAGTAATCACTCTATTCCCCAGTGGCCCTTAAAAATAATTCTGAGGACATTAATGCCAACTAACTAATGACAGCAATCCATTATTGCTGTAACACACCCATTCTTTATGTTCTCCATTCACCTCTCTATCCCCAAACACTGCTCTGATGTCATTTAATCACTAATTATTAGATGGATAAGAACCCTAGCTAATAGTAACACTTCATAAAAGCATAAGTAATGTACAGACTAGTGATTGCCTGTAGGGAAACAAAGCAAACACGGGTAGAAATTCACTGCAATAATCTACTGAAAAGGGGAATTCACCAGATAATAGGCCTCCTACCCTGTGTCCCATCCGAAAACATGCCCTGAGGGCAAGGCGTGCAGGAAGACGATCCATTATTGTAAAACCCAGGGTTGCAGGGTGGACAGTCCTTCCTCTCTCCAGAAGGGGGCAGCTCCATTGCATCCCGAAGATCTTCCCTACAGATTTTAGGCTCTATCCATTTATACATGATCTGAGTCTGAAATGAAAAGGATCTGGTGTCAGATTGTAGAATCATAAAATCATGAGAAAGTAGGCCTGGAAAGGACCTCAAGAGGTCATCTAGTCCAATCTCCTGCCAGAGGCAAGATCAAGATCATATCTATCCTTACAAATCCACTGTCTTGCCTCTTAGCAAAACTACACAGTCAATCCCAGTCAACGCAAGACATAACGCCCTAACCTGCCTCACATAAAGCAAGGGGACCACGGCCAGGACCAATGTCCTGCTGCTACAAAGGTTGTCAATATACGCTCAAGAGATCCTAGAAAGAGGGCCACAAAGCCCCGTTACAGAAAAATGCAAAAAACCCAACCCCACAGTCCATACCAATCTGACCATGGGGTAAAATTCCTTCCGGACCCCAAATATAGTGATTGGTCTGACCCTGAGCAAATGGGTAAGACCCTCTAACCAGGAACCTCTGGGTTTAAGTCTCAGCAGGAGCATTGGCACACCCCAGTGAAAATCTCATAACTTGGCTGCAGCCAACATGCAATGCTTCTGAGGAAAGCAGAGGAAAAATAACAAAACCTTGACATCATGTAGCAAGAGGAGGATGAAATAATTTCTTCCTAGTCCCATGTGCCAACTAACAAAGGCCAGAAGCATGGGGAATACCCACAGTACAGCACAGATATAGCTACTCCTAGAACATTCCTGACCAATGCTTATCCAGCCTCTTCTTAAACACCTCCAACAAATGTGGAAACCATTGATACCACTACTACTCTATGGTCCAAATCAGGACTGAGACCAGATTGTGCTAGGTGGTATACATGCAGATAGGAACCTACAGCCCTCCCTGATGTACTTCTAATATGACTTAAAGCAAAATGGAACAAGTGATTATGATGAACAATAAATATGAGGGAATGAAGGGTGAGTGCAGTGGTAAAAAGATAACATAGGTGAGCTAATGGCTCCAAATGCATGAGCTAATGGCTCCAATCATTTGCAAGGATGCTGCTTTTTAATTAATAAATAAATATGTGCTATCCCTGACTGCCCGTCCCATCAGGAGATCTAAAGCCTGTCAAGTCAGCAGGTCTTTCCACTGAGTTTGTTGAACTTTGCTCCGGGCCTTAATTAATTGGTTTCCTGTAAGCATCACAACAGCCCACCACTGACCATATCTGAACCTTGTGGCTCTGGCCTTCCCACCTTTAACCCTTGCCTATTTCATTGACTCTTCGCTGTATGCCACTTGGGATCTTATGTAGGAAGAGTGCCACAAAAAAAAACACTAGGGTTTTTTCCTCTGTATTTTAAAGAGCCTAGCACAATGGAAAACATCCCTCTGAAAACCTCACAAGCTATTTATCATCCCAGCATATGCCTGTATTTCAAAAAAATTCCTAATTTTTCTCCAATCATATTAGCACATTCTTCTTTGGAAAGAAAGTAGTACCATAGCACATGAACTCTCCTGA